TTTTTACCCCCAACACATATCATGTAAGTCGATTAGTATCACGCCACAAAAAATCAGTCGTTTTGATCGATCTTTCCGAGAGCTCTCACCGCGTTTAATATTCAACAAGGCAACGAAGCAAATCGAATTTGGTACATTGCGAACAATGGCTACTCATCTAACGAATGCTATCAAGCCAAAAGTTGCAACTGATGCACCGCGGCGACATGTATGTACCATCAAGTTTCTTCCGAGATTTCTCACATCAGAAAGTTCGACTTCATGCGCCCTTGATGTTCATCATCAACTTATGTGTTTCCTCAAGAATAATCCAAACATGGCTACGAAAAAAGTTCTYAAAAAGGGCTCAACTTGCGCTATCCAAAGATTCCCTCCTCGTTCATGTTTAAACGATACTCTCTGGGAAATTTCCTGTAAATTTGAAGTTATTTTAAGTTAATAAAACAGAGGAGTGGTTTACGTCAGCACGGGTTATAAAATTGGTTGCCCCAAAATTTTATTACTGATTTTGAAAATCCAGTGAGGGCTTTCACTCCAAATGTAGGAATTATGATCAGAAAAAGTTAAAAAAACTCAATGTTCTTGAAATCTGATAGATGTAAAAACACAACCCAGTCGACTGAATTTGCAGATTGATTTTCCTTTTGTCACAGCAGCAATACAAAGTTAGCGAATTAATTATGCAAACATTGCAGGAAATTTGGGTTTCCCCACAGGATCCTATATCTCCCAGGGATTTAAATATTTTAACCTATTATTTTCACATATCTATTAACTCATGATACTTAGCATTTGCTCCAAGTTTGAGCCAAATCAGTGGTTTGAGATTTATCACCCCCTGCCCCGTTTTCTCCTGGACACGCTCTTAATTATCAAACCTGACTAAGCTATTGTTACTTACGACTGAAGCAGTTTTTTCAATTTCGAAATTTTATTGAAAAGTATTGTTGTACACCTCGCATGAACCGCGATGAAAAAAAATCACTTTAACATAATTATAAACAGTTATTTACATTTATACAATTCTCAAATTCTAAGTGGAGCGGTGGAAGATTGGGTGGTGGTTGGTGACTGGGAAGCCATTTTTGTAATTTTGAGTTTAATCATGATTCTGTGGCTATCAGTTGTCGAAGCTATCGATATTTTTAACTTTTTCCACGATTTCCTAGCTAGAGAAAACAATCTATGGACGTTGAAACAACCTTTCGCCATATATTCCCTTCCAACAATTTGCAATATTCCCTCGATGGTGATTCAAGAAATCTTTGCGCAAACGCAGGGATCCGATTACTGGAAACTTATTCATTGGGAGAAATCGTCTTTGAATTGACACTTAGTTGAATCAAAAACCTTACTGCCCTTGAATTCCGGAACGTGCAGTACTTTTTTCCGGTGACTTTTCAAATACCCAGACAATCTGCCTGTCACTCCATTTTAACACGGCAAGTGCCTCATTCAAAAATTTACCACAGAACATGAATGTAATTCAACGTTAAAATCTTAAACAGCAAAGACTAAATGTCATTCAAATTTTGTAAAGAGCGCTTTCATGTTAAAATTCTTTATTAAAATGTGAGCTTTTGACGGCCGAAATACAAAAGGTATTGAGCAGAAAAATACATGCATGCAAGCAAATATAATATTTTCGCCATTATTTTTTGGAGTATTGTTTTATGTTTTCATTTTCAACTTTCTCAAGTCCGTTTTTATCTCTTGATGGTCAATAAATAATCAATTTCATGATTGACTTGTTATCTTTGAATTTAAATCTTTGACTTTTACTGTTTTCAAATGTAATGATATTCCTCTTTTTAACCGTCACATCTACTACCAAAGTAAATGAATTCGTTGTTTTCAAATAAAATTTCAAATAATTTTTGTTTCCTCGAGAGTCTCTTTTGTCATACTTTACTTAGTTCTAGCCTAAGTTGTTTTCTGACACAACATTTATTTATTGATCCATCTTCAATTTCCCAGCAATTTTTTGGAAAGGGCTTTATATAACCGTTTTTATTCATTCTATTTACGTCAAATCAAAATCGATCTACCCCCGAGATTACCATGAACTGTCATCCCAAATGGAAAGGAAAATGAGTTTCTGAATTCATATCCAGAAAAAAATATGAATTGAATAACATTTTTCATTTGTTACAAAAAATTGAATTGCGTGACTAGTGTAGTGTATTGATTATACATGTACCTATCTTAATTATTGACAACGAGCTTAGTGTGTCTTCTAAGGTGAGCACTTTGTACTTAAACTCAGTAAATGTACTACTCGCAGTAATCCTACTATACTGAAAACTGACTTGCATGCTGTAAAATTACTATAAGTCAGTTAACTCTTTTACTTCTACATGTGTAACGAGTTTGTTGATAAAGTTCAGTTATCCCTTAGCAATGAAGGAGAAAGAGTCTCTTTGTGTCTGAATGACGACACTACAACCAGCATGGCCTTCTACAAGCTTCACGAAAGTTCATAGTTCGTTTATTTTAGTATCTTGCGTAAGCGTTCCTTAAGCAGTATATTTTGTAATCTTTCTATAATTAGACTATTAAGAAAGTTCTAGAATTTTATTGGGTAGGTATATAGGTAGGCGAGTCCAAGCGAAGTTTTTAACCAGTTTTCACAACGAAGAGAGTTTGACGTTAGTCGTGCTTAGTCAAGTGTGACGGAAGCGGTGTTTATTGAAGTTGGCAGAGGCCGTGTGAATTTATCAAGTTAAGTTCAATTGACGGAGGCCGAGTAAGTTTATCAAATTACGTGCTGTTGTAGAGCTTTACTTCGTGGACACCACATTCATTTATGGAAAAAATCTTCTTGTTGCTGTTCCGACAACCCTGAGGTCAGCCTAGTCTGCAAGCTACCCATCCTCTAAAAGATCACCCGCATAACACCATTAATCTTTGTTATTTCTGGTAATCTGATTTTCATTATGTTGCATACATTTTTTGATTTAATATTAGTTGAAGCAGTAAAAGACAGATATTTGTAGAGATTTTAAATGTTTCGCTTTTATCCATATGAGCAAATTCTACTTCAGATCTTGAACAAGTTATGGTACCATTTTTATAACTGATCATATTTCGTCCCCGAATGACTTACTACACAATTTGCGAGTTCCTTTCCTTCTTTTTCTTCAAAATTAGCGAACATGTATTTGATGTAATCCTGAAATGTATTTAGTTTAAATGCCCTTTTGTTAATATTCTGTATTTAATACTTGATAATGGCATATTCATGACTCAAACAATTGAGATAATTTAAAACCCTTTTTCTTAATTAAAACAGCCTCCAATTATCAAATTACCTTTATATTCATAAAGAATATACTCGTCCATATAACATTCATTGAAGGATACATGAAGGATATCATGTTAGATAACTCCTTGGGTTAATGAGCGTCCCTCCTTGAATAAATTTTATTGATTGATTGATTGATTGATTGATTGATTGATTGATACTAATGTTCACCTTGTGTTTAAAATTTTTATGAAAGAACTCTTCTCCTGTTTTCTGCATTTTGATCTCCAAGACTAAATTTGGTTTTTAATCCATTAATAATCTAATTTTTAAAATTTTTAACAGAAAATGACACACTAGACATATTACTATCATCTACCAGGTTTCTATGAAGAATAAAGAAAGTTCTGCGCTACCGTTTTGGATTCAAGACGAGAAATTAGAGGATGTGATAACACTAACTTTGAAAATTCTTTCACAGATTACTGTAAGTCCTCTGTCACGTAACGTTTAGCTACATCTCGTTAAGTCACGTTACAAGCGTAGCGTCAAGTCAAGTAATCTTTTGCCACGTTACTTCTCTACATCCTTCCATCCCAACTACCCTATGGGTGCATCCTAATATCCAATTTTCTCGTTGTTGTCCCCCCTCCCCCTCCACGCCTCCCGTTGTTCTCATGTCCACATGTAAACTCTACCATATGTTACTTGTAAGCCAAAATTTAAGGGCCATTCACGGAATAAAAAACATGTAAGTAAGTAAGTAAGTAAGTAAGAAAGTAAGCCACGAACCGAAACAAAAAACATGGCTTGCTCAAATGCTGAACTTTTAACCTGTACGAATTTTTAGAAGGCACAATTTATTCCACTCTGGCTACTTTTGGAAAAAAAATATCTTGAAGACATCGGATAAATTGTTGAAATTTTCTGCCTACATTTACAGAAATATCTCTACTACATCTTACAAAAATCAACTTTCCGAAAAGTTAAAAAAACTTAGCCAAATACAAACTTTACATAACGATTTTCACAAAGTAAAAGATGTGCTAGATGGGTCTGAAGTGACCAAACGCGTGCTCGTTGTTTTTCCACTGTTTCCTTACGAAAGTTTCCAGTTCGTAATAGACAACGGGAAAATTCTCCAGAGTAGTTGCCGAGGTTGTTCTGAGTGATTCTACATGCTGAAATATTTCATACCTTTAGAGTGGATTTGTCGGCATATGAGAAAGAAATCGCCAAAGCAAACACAAAAATCCTTGCGAAGAGAAGACCCATTCTGATCTGTTTGAAGTCCACTCACACACAGAAACTCAGAAGAATGACAAAGGTCTTGGCTGACAATATCATTTTGAATGAATCAATTCTTTTCTTTTAGAAAACGCGAATAATCTCGCACAGGATGTTTGCGTTCTTATTGTTTGAAACATAAAAAAGTTTTCTTTAAAGGGGGGGGGGGAACAAAGAAAGAAATTCAAATCTCATGTAAACCAGACACTGCTTAGGGAAAAAAGCGTTATGTTGCTGAGTAATCGCCAAGGATTTAGCGAAAGTTAGGAATTAATCGAATTCTGGAATACAAGCAAAATTTTTAAATGGTCTCAACTCTACAAGACGTACGCAAAAATCAGAACAACAATTATTCATCCCCCTCCCCTCGCAGTTACTACTTCCTGTCCCAAGAGTGATTATTTGGTAAGTTTGATACCTTCTCTTTACCGAGTTCCTCTGCAGTGGATCGAATAAAAATTTAAAAAAAAATCATTATCCGATCTATAATGCCTTGATCTTAATATTTGTTATCACCTAAGCAAATTTACTTTTAGATCAGTGAGAGAAATAAGGGTCCTATTTCATATGGAAATTCTTTTTAGGGGCCCATGTGAAGAAAAACAGTAAGTGATCAAGGTGATGTGACGGTTGAAACCGAGAAATTTATTTGCCAGGAAAAAAAAGAATTATACTTCTTCAAGCTACGCTTGTGCATTTACAAAGAAACATTTCTTCAAATAGGAAACCTTGAAGAATTTTCAAAAGAAAACTTAATTTCGACGTCCCATTGTTTTGAAATCACGAAAAATCTCGTGAGATTGTTTACCTTTCTAGTATCGGTAGAAGTGAACTCACCAAATTATGCATAGTTCGAGGAAGATTAACCCACGAAACAAAAACTCGGCTCCCCATAAAGAGAGCTCTTTCCAGAACCCCTAAGTCCTTCTTTATACTTTATATATTGTTCAATATCATCGAGTTACAGCTTGATTGTAAAAGACAAAGAAATAAAAAGCACTTATTAAACATGAATTAAAAGCCTGATCGAGGAAGAAACGACCGCACTTCCCCTTCCCCCTGAAAGTCAACCTTTTTGTGCAGCAAATTATATTTCTATTCCTTAATCTACTTCATTCACGCGTATGACTTACTACCCCTATCGGCGTATAAAGTGATTTACGATGAATTGGTATCATTTTTGAAGACTTTTTACCCAGTGGAGAGAGCAAATCTATGATTTTTTATGAACCAAAATTTGCTGGCTATTGGTAACAAGTTCAGCCTTGACAGCTCCCCCGTAATTTGAGTTTTACGGTTTTGGAGACTTACTCATAAACGTGACGTTTGAGTTTCCCAAATGAGCAATTATACGATGAACCGAATCCAGAATGAAAAACAATTTTTGTCTTGAGTTTTGTAACAGAGTCTTGCGGTGGTTTGTTTGACCGACGTTTTTTTTGTTTTTTTTTTTCTTTTTTTCTTTTATTTTACGAACAGCTTTTCTGTTCTATATTTCCGAAATAATTTGATTTTCAAAGGTGAGATTTTTATTTAGAAGACCAAGAAAAACTCGTGTGACCCATTCCGCGAAATATTATGGTAACAATATAAAGTGACATTTTAATTCAACGAAATTCGACATTTTCTACATCATTATTGCATACTAAATCCTTTGTGCTGTAATTGTGAAACCTAATAATGTCGAATGCGCGACGCCTTTCGGTAACAGTTTGGCTTATTTATTTTGTGCGCAATGAAATGAAAATTTCTCACTTCTTCGCTCCGACACCACCTAATCAACGATGAAACTTTTCATCGTAGGTTACATTCACCCCAACAGTTATTTCTTTGGTCAGTCCGAAACTAAAGTTAACCTGCTAAGCGAGGCTTAAAGTTGCGACTCTTGTTACACAGAACTGCTTACTTAAGATCAATAATGAATTAATCAGGAACTAGCTCATACCTTCGTAAAAGTGCCCGTTGGATAAGAAAACGACAGAATCAAGGCAAGACAAATCTTCTACCAAAATTGAGCAATTCTAACTTCTTTCTACAGAACTTGATGGAATGAATAGTGCTCCCTCCAGAAACACATGTCTTTGCATAATTAAAGAAAACGAGAAAAATCTCGAAGTCTCATTTGTAGTGTCATTGTTAGTCCACACGGATATATTTACCCCGAGCCGGAAAGAAGTGATTTTGGTAGAAGGAAAGCAAACCACGAGAAAAGCCCCTGTGTGGAGGGCCGATACCTTACTCCATTTCCGGTCTAAATTCGCTCACTAAGTGTGCCCGTTTGAGTAAGCTTTATAGAAAAAATAAATTGCAAAAATGAGTACAAAAGTTTACTCATTGACAAATTACTGTCACCCTAAGAATTTTAAGCAAGGAATTAACTAAACAAACCAAAAGCGGGAGCATTTTGCTCTTAAAAGATGATTCCAGGTGTATGGCCTCTTTAATACTCAAACTTTCTCAAAGATAGATAAATAAAGGCTAAAAGTTCCTAAAGAAAATGTGGTGCTGCGTCGGTGGGGGATAACAAGGTAATTTGGTTGAAATTGTAAATTGGTCACCGTAAGGAATAAAAAACCTGACGTTTCGTGCGTTAGCCCTTCGCTCTGACGAAGGGCTACCGCCCGAAACGTCAGCTTTTTTATTCCTTACGGTGGCCAAATTATAATTTCAGCTTAGTGGATCATAACCAAATTTCTCAAAGATTAATCTTTTCACCTGATTAATTTCCTTAATCAGGTGAAAATTATTTCATTTGTGAAGTTTTGATTGGCGACAAAAACAGTCAAACACTTTCACACTGTTTTTAGCCTACAGCATTTCGACACAAAAATTCTTTAAAAAAATTAATGAAAATTGATAAACGATTAGGAAGAGGGTAAAAGAACATTGTTCAAATGAAGATAAAGGAGAGGGGGAGAGAAAAAAATCTGCGAGTTGCGTGGAAAATTATTTCAACCTAAAAGACAATATGTAAACATTCAGGATGACATTACGTGACCCTTTTTTTGGTATATTTATCCCAGCGTTTACTTTACCTGTGAGCGTTGAATAAATATCAGCTGATCACAAATGCATGATGAATGAGACAGCGTCTAAAGGCTGGTTTTCATTAGCGACGGAGTCGGAGTCGTAGTCGGAGTCGTAAGAGCGCATATGACCTAGTGAATATCGAAAAACGGAGTCGTAAGTGGAGTCATAAGCTCGACTGAATCGGAGTCGGAAGAATCAGAACGTTTCCATTTTCTTCAGATTCCGCTTATGACTCCGTCGCTTACGATAACCAGCCTTCATGGTTTTCACCTGACGTTATCAAAATTTGAGAATTTAGTTTCGTTAGTTATTAGAACAACTGAAGACATATCTTTGAAAAAATTTCCGGTTCGATAGGGTTTTCTTTCTTTTGATAAAGCAATGTTGAATTTCTAAGCTTCTGCGTGACACGATATCAAAATGGCGGCCGAGAGTGCTGTCACGTAAGTTAAAGAACTGACGTATCCGCTGAGATTTCGCAATCTGAACAGTCCGTGTAAGAGAAGAAATACTAATATAAATTTTTGTAAGCCCTAAAGAGGCGACTACGGGCATTTTGTAGCAAAATTCGAACACAGGTACAATAAATCGATTTTACAATTAGTGTGACGGCAGCCCTGTAGAGTCAGCAGTTCATTCATCTTGAACGTAGTTGCAACGCCTGATTTGTATGCTCGCCGATTTTTTTTTCCTTTCGTTTGTTCCAATTTAAAGTAGACCAGGTTTGTGAACATACCACTGGATCATTGCTGTCTAATTATACGCCTAAACGGTAAGAATTGTCCTAAGAACATTTTGCGCAACAATTTAAAGATTTTTTCTATCTATAGTTTGAGTTCTGAGTGTTTATTAATAGACGCAAGCTTGTGTGTTTTCCTAAAACTAGATTGTTATCTCAGGAGTTAAAAGATATTGGTGTCTTGACAAGTGTCTTCGTCTTTCTGCCTGTGAACTGAATAAACATCGTTTCTGAGGTGAGTAACTCCTCGGCTAGAGGTCACTCACAACTATATAGCTTATCTACCGCCAAGTTAAAGCATGAATAGCTTCCTCTTTCAGGACAGAAATCCAATTTTTCGTCTAAAGATGTTTCGTATTTATTTACAAGTGAACAAAATACCCAAAGGAAGTATAGTTGAAAGGGATGCTGGCGCTATAGTTCTTCTCTCTTCTTTTTGAGCTCGATTCAAATGATTTGATTTTCTAGTCTTGCGTTGCGAAGTGAAAGGATGCTAATCATGCACCGCTTTACTGATCTTTTCCGCCCTTCTTCAAAATTCCTCCGGTGAATGGAAAACGAACTGGTCAAAGAAACAGATGAATGAACGATGAATAAACGTCTGAATGAATCTGATGAAATATACAATACAAATTTGTCTGTAGAAATTTGAACAACTTTTGAATCCTCACCTTTACGCCAAAGGCACCCAAATGACCATTCCGGGTTGTAACGTTTGGGAATAGTGGCGTGACGAGGAGCAGAAGGAGAACTGAGTTTTACGCTCAACATTAAAGGGATTTCTGGCGGGGAATTGACCTCATCGAATTATTTCCTCCTCCTAATTCTAACTTTCTACAGTCGATCTACATAGATACACACATAGTGCTTAGGTAGGGCAGTTCTCGAGAATTGCAAATCTGCTGCGATCGCAAGGCCTGTGAAACTGGAAAAGGTTCCAAACCTTATAAGTTGTTTCAACTTGGAAGTAGCTGATGTCAACTCAACCTTCTCCAGTGTAATTGTGCTGTTGTTCACTGTCTGTTGTTCCCTCGTCTAGTTTATTTTTTCTTCTTCTTCTTCCTTTGGGAAGGGGAGGGGGGGGGAAGGGTTGACTGTTCACTCTCATAGTCGACCAAACCGTAACAGTGAAAAGGTAATTTGGTTTTATTAACTTAGTTGATAAAACCATATTAACTTGTTACCGCCAACGACACGGCACCAGACTTTCTTTAGAAAC